CCGTCAAGATGCTAAAGTTAAACTAAGTTAGGTTAGGTTATTCAAAAGCAGGACAGACGAAGAATGGCAAACAGGATATAGGCTATAAAGTGGGTAAATAATTAGGAAGTGTAGGGCAGCTAGGGAACAGTGGATTGATAGGACGTGTAAAGAAGTAGAAGAAAAGTTTGAACTAGGTAAAACCGATGAGGTTTATAAAAGAACTAAAAGGAATTTTAGAGATTTTAGATGAGTACAGTAGTAATAATTTAAGAAACGAGGCAGGGGTCGGGGTCAATTTGATAGAAAATGAAGAAAAGGCAGACAGGTGTAAAGAATATTTAGGGAACCTATACGCAGACCCTGAGTTAGGAGATATATTAGAGAAGGAAGATAATGTAGAGATAGATGAGCTAGGTCATCCCATAATGAGAGAAGAGTTTCGATATAGCATTAAAAAACCTAAAGAATAAAAAGGCGCCAGGGGTAGATGGATACAGAGAGAAATTCTAAAGCATGCACGACAAGAGGTTACAGATCGTATGTTTAAGCTAGTTAGTCACATTTACGAGACAGGGAAAGTTTCAGAGGATTATAAACGGAACGTGGTAGTAACCATACTTAAAATGAGAGGCGCGGATAGGTGAGAGACTTTTAGAGCAATTAGTTTAACTTCTCATGCATCAAAAATCGTAACTAGAATTGTACAGAGTAGGATGGCAAAAGGGGCGGAAGAACTAGTAGGAGAAGATCAATTTGGGTTTAGAAGAAATAGAGGAATGCGGGAGGCCATTCTAGCTTTACAGGTAACAATAGAGAAAACGATATAAAAAGGAAAGAGTGCCTACATAGAATTTGTAGATTTAGAAAAAGCTATTGACAATGTGAAATGGGGCATGATGCTAAATATACTTAAAAATGTAGGGATGAGTTACAAAAATAGAAGAGTGACACTTAAGTATATATATTAAGTATAGAGAACGTAGAGAAGTAAATATTAGAAAGGGAATCAGACAGGGATGCACACTGTCACCACTACTTTTTAATCTATACATCGAAGACGCGATCAATAAGAACAGTACAACTGTTGGGACATATATACAGGGGCAAAAGATTAGTATGCTTAGATTTGCACATAATATAGCAGTATTAGCATCTAGCAAGGAGGACTTAGAGATAGCTTTAAATAAAATGGAAGCGGTATTGACAAAACAGTACTGTATGAAAATAAACGAAAGTAAAACTAAAATACTGGTATGCAAGGGAAGCAAAAGTAGGGAAAGAGCGAATATAAAGATAGGAGACGAAAAATTAGAAGAAGTGGCTGACTTTAGATATCTAGGAAGTCAGATAAGCCAGGACGGAAGGAGTAGTAGGGATATAAAACAGAGGATAGCGCAGGGTTGTGTCGCCTTTAATAAAAAGAAGTCATTTCTATGCTCGCGAACAGTTATTTTGGAAATTCGAAAAAGGTTGTTAAAGGTGTATGTTTGGAGCGCGGCGTTTTACGGGTGCGAAATATGGACAGCGGGCGCGGCGGAAAAGAAAAGGTTAGAAGCGTTCGAAATGTGATGTTATAGGTGAATGATGAGGATAACGTGGATAGAAAAGGTTAGAAATGAAGACGTATTAGAAAGAATAGGAGGACAGAGGACTCTATGGAAGTCAATAAGAAATAGGCGAGATAGGTTGGTAGGACACCTTCTCAGACATGAAGGTCTAGTCAGAGACAGAAACAGGAGTTAGAAGGGGTAACTGTAGACCTAGATTAGATTAGGTACTGTTCGCAAATAGTTAAGGATGTAAGTTATTCTAGTTTTAGGGAAATGCGAAGTTTAGCTCAGGATAGGAATTCGTGGAGGTACGTGTCAAACCAGTCTTAGGACTGACGACTTTATAATGATGAGGTTATTCCATTCCTCTTTCTGTCATGGATCTCATTCCCACACACTTACAATACATTCGCCACATCTCTACAAATTATTTAAATGGCAGAACAACGTTTAACATTTAGTTATCATTTGATAAAAGACTATTACAATAAGGACAATTAGTAGTATGATAGTGCATTCTAGTAGGGTTCTTATTCAACCGTCAGTTGATGGTGAGTTACATTACCAATGCCTATCGTATAATTAGAAATATTCCCGGTATCTGGGTCAAAATTAGCAGCAACTGGGTACGCCGCTATCAGTGTTGCTTTGAAGCTAATGGCGGACAATTTCAACATTTTTTATAAAAGGAATATACGCTATTCTTTTTCACTTTTGCCTTTTTTTACAAGGTGGAAGTGCATTCGCTTTCTTCCCGATAGGTACTTGTTACATCCACACTATTAAATAAAATTTGTTGCTGTTGTTACACCCTCGCCGGGAACCGAATCCGAGACTCTTTGGCTTTACGCACTAATGTTTGGACCACTTAGCTATGTGTTTCAAACAGTATTCTCTATATAATTTTTAAGAGAAGATAAGGATCAAAATGGAAGAAAAATGAGTGGCTTATGTAAGGCGGAAGAAAATAAGTTGACTGAGAACATTTAATCCCTGGTCAGTAATCATTCGGACGTGGATGACGGAATATTACCTAACAAATAATGTTTTCTAAATTAAACTGAAGTAAGTCTTTGTAGCTCCTTTTTTGTTTGAGTAATTATACAGTCTTAATTTTTATTTCATGTTATGGGCGATACGCAACTTTGGTTTAATTAAAGCGAGTTTGAAATTGAAATTATGGTTATTGTTAGTTACACCTCTCAATCTACAAAGATCCGTTTTTTCGTTATTTTTATACCGTTAATCACAATTAGTAAGTACAGGGTATTTCCTAATAAAAAAGGGAAAATCCTCACCTAATTTTTAGACAAAGTGTTTAAAAATTTTTCGAACGTTGCTTCATGGTATTTTTCACATATCCTTTTGTTTTCTATTTTTTTTTCCTGTATATTCTTTACAATAGCTAAGTCTGCCAATCAAGAAATAACTCAAATTTATTTTATATTCGGTTTAGCAAACGGGAATGCTCGAAGGGAAAAATGCTTGAGGAGGATGTTTTAAACATAGAGGAAGAATTTCCGGGCGCAAACACGAGGAAGGTTAAAAACGAGTTGAATGTGAATCACAAAACAGTACGGATTATCTCAAAAGGACTGTTTATTTTATCCTTTTCACATACATATAAAGAGTACGAGCATTATTACATCCAGATTTTCTTTGAGTTCCAAATATTCCAAACACAATCCAACTTTCAGACGTAGTCAATTTTTCGGGAGTCGGCATTACGAATTTTATAATCCTTGATAGTTAAGAACAAATCATTATTAAATTTCTCGCTCATTCCATTGCAGAGGTAATAATTATGTATTTCAATGTTTCCATTACAAAAAGATGACTTGAACTTCGAATGACCTCCAAGGTCAAAATCACTTCAGCGTCTCCAATTGATTTTTATTTCTTAATCATACCTAGATACAACTTTCTTGGACTATATTTAATGGCTTAATTATACAGGGAATTTAGAGGAATAACTCCAGAAATATCGGGAATGGGTCCATCAAATCGTGATTCGATACATTTAGGAAATACTAGACTGCAATACGTGTGATTTCCCAGTGTTTGTAGGAGGATGAATCGATGACAAGTCTCTAACAACAGCGTAGGACTCAGTTAAATACAGTTTTACTTTCTGACTTTATTGTTCCTGCCATCGTACCTCGTGTGTTCTGGAGGTTCCAAATTTCGAGAAGTCCTTTTGAATGAAATCCCAAGTAGGGTCAAAATACGTTCAGTTGGAAGCTCCGCACGTATGCAAAATTTTAAGATAAATAGGTACCTACCTGCTTATACATTTATTATCAGATTAAGGTAACTATGATGGGTGTGTTCACCGAGGAGCATGGCCTAGAGGTTTAGACCATTGCATAGCATTCGGGAGGACGCCGGTTCGATTCCGCGTCCGCCTGCCTTGGTCCAAGTTTTTCTGTGGTTTTCTTGGATCACTTAGGCAAATGCTGGCGCAATAATATTCCACAGATAATCATTCATTCTCTTCTGTTTTCATTTCGTCCGTTTCAACTTTCTCACCCGAACCACCACCCACCCATTCCCACGATTCCTGAAAGCAGGCTGAAGAGGGCCTTCCGCCCTACCTTCCGGCATAGTCCGGAGGGACTGCCCGCCCACCAGCATTACTGGCTGGTGGGAATGAAACACCCAAAAGTTTTTTTTTGCGTGTGTTCAGGAGGTTGAAACACAAACTTTTGAATAATAACCTGTTGTCTGTAGGGCACAGTTGTTCTGTCTAAAGCGTTTTTTGATATATACCTCCCTCCCCATAAAACATTACGAAAATAATAATTAAACTATTTCTTAATGAGTTATTGCTACTTCACTTTTAACAACAAGACTTAAGTCACTGGCAAAAACGGTGTTATTTACAGCTTTATTTCTGAATATGACGTTTTATGGAGAACAAAAAAATAGTTATTCCATGTCAGCTCTTAAACTGTAAGATATAGTATGCTATAAAAGAATACGTTTCATGGTTCTTTAAAAAACAATTCTCTACGAATTGATCATAAAATAATTTTTGGATGAGCGATTAAACAGCTCAGCTTAGAATAGAAGCATTCTGTCTGAAATATTGTACAACTCCATATTCAACGTTGCTGTTTAAATTTTGTAATTTTACAGATCTAAAAAGAAACTGATGACCAATAGTGGTGCAATGTTGCTCGAACAAAGTTGATACGATTATTAACATTGTAAAATCGTAATGTAGAAAGTTGAAGATTACATTTTTTGGTTTAATTATTCTTTCTAAAATTTGTAATACCATCACTAGAAAAATTGTGAAATTAGAGTGTCAAAACTAAAAAGATCAATAAGCTGATGTACGTGTGTGCTATGTTATTGAAAAAACTGAGTTTTTCATTGTTAGTAACTATTAGTTGTGTGATTGTTATTGACTAATACTAACGATAAATTAATGTAATTAATTTAAAAATACTATTTGACATAAACCTTTAATATTTTTTCAACAGGTGGCACCCTTGTGTCGGCCGTGGAAACGGAGACTCTGCTGTTTCTTGAATTAAGTGTGTTCAATCGTGGCCTCACCTGTTCGCTCCTACGTCGGGTACGTATATTAAATGCCCCATAGACAATTGGGTTCATACACGAGTTCGTGCAGGCGAAGAGAAACAGCCCTTTTTGAATTCGTTGATCTACTTTCAGGGCGGATTCTCGATCACTCCAGTACCTGAACAGAAAAATGTCTATTTGTATTATTTAAAACATTTAAAGCGATAGAAACCAAAAACCTAAATTTAATCCTACATTTCGAAATAAGTCGGAACCTTTTATTAAGTGGTAACATGACATTTTCGAGTACAATTACTAACGTGACGTCTATAAGACTGGAAATTTTATCAAACAAAGAATAATGGACCTTATACAATTACTCCGGACGTAAACTACTCCTGATTAGAATTAGATATAGTAGGCATTGGTGAAGTCCGTTGACCCAAAGCTTGAGACTTCTGGAGTGGAGACTTTACATACAGGATCGGTGGAAAGTAATTCGGGGGTAGGAATTGTAATGCGTAGGAAAGTAGGGCAGAGTGTAGAAAGTTATTTACAAAAAAGCGATAGGATAGTTATGGTTAAATTAAACTCGAAGCCGGTAAAAACGGTATTAGGGCAGGTCTACATGCCTACATCATCTTACAGTGATGAAGACGTAGAAGCGGTTTATGCAGATATAGAAGATTTCTTAAGTTTATTGATAGGGTAGTTGTAGGAAACTTCAACGCAGTAATAGGTGAGGGTAAAGTGGATGCAATAGCAGGTTTTTTGGATTAGGCAATAGAAATGATAGGGGAGATAGGCTGATGGAATTTTGCGATAAACATAACTTAACCGTCGCGAATACTTTATTTAACTACCACGTTAGGAGGCGTTATACGTTGAAGATGCCAGGTGATTTAGAGAGGTATCAGTTAGATTACGTGCTTGTTAGGCAAAGATTTAAAAATCGAGTGAAGGACTGTAGGAGTTATCCAGGAGCAGATATAGATATCGATCATAACTTAGTAATTATGAAGACAAATCTTAAATTGAAAATTCTGACTAAAATGTAACGAAACGCGTGATAGGCTAGGTATAGGAACTGACGAAATATTAAAGTCGGCGGGAAAAACGAATGACAGGGACTTAGAGACAGAATGGAACTTATGAGAGAAGAGTTCGATGTAGCATTAAAAAACTTTAAAGAACAATAAGGTGCCAAGCGGTACTGACAAAACAGTACTCTATGAAAATAAATAAAAGTAAAACTAAAGTACTGATATGTAAATGAAGATAAAGTAGAGAAAGAGCGAATATAAAGAAACGAGACGAAAAATTAGAAGTGGCTGGTTTTAGATATCTAGGAAGTCAGATAAGTCAGGACGGAAATTCGAAAAAGGTTGTTAAAGATGTATGTTTGGAGCGCGGCGTTGTACTGAACAGTGAGCGCGGCGGAAAAGAAAAGGTTAGAAGCGTTCGAAATGTGGTGTGATAGGCGAATGAGGATTTCGTGGATAGAAAAGGTTAGAAATGAAGAGGTATTAGAAGGAATAGGAGAACGGAAGACTCTATGGAAGTCAATAAGAAATAGGCGAGATAGGTTGATAGGACACCTTCTCAGGCATATTAGTGGCAGAAACAGGAATTAGGAGAGGTAGAGGTAGACCTAGATTAGATTACTGTTCGCAAATAGTTTAGGATATGGGTTATTCTAGTTTTAAGGAAATGCGAAGTTTGGCTCAGGATTGGAAAGAGTGGAGGTACGTTTCCAACCAGTCTTAGGACTGACGACCTTATGATGATGTCAATCAAAAAAAAAAAAAGTGTGTGGTTTTATCAAACCACGATGTAAGTGAAACTTTTCGGATTGTAGGCATTTAACTGTAAATTTTCAGAAGATTATTCGATTTAGGGTATTAAAATCGCGTTCTTAATCTTATCTTAATGATTGGAAAATGGGAATGATAATGGGAAATCAATAGCAGACAAGATATCCAACTTTAAATTTTAATTTCAATCTGCGTATAAGAGTACAGAATACATAATAAATACAATCATTCAGATGATAGATGCATGTTAAAACTGAGAACAATATGTATTTAAATCATTGAATCATTTTGAACTTCAGTAATTCTATCAATAATTTCATTGTTGCTTTGAGTTTCATAGTCTATAAATGTAATTGTCATGCATTTGCACGAATAAGTGAGAATATGAATGCTCCACGGTTAGTTCATGTGAACCATAAGCTTTCACTCTTGCCCCTACTCCGCGGTCGGCTGTAATGCAACATACGATAGATGGGCGAAAAAGTTTGAGGCGATGTAATAAAAGTTTCTCTTTAAAAATGCGTAACATACATTGTGACAAAGATCAGGTTTCTAGACGGCATATAGTGGATCTTTCTAGAAATTGACTAGCCTTTATAAATAGTTGGCGCGTGATCGAGGAGTTAGTTAGTACGAGTACCAGTTCAAATTACGTGGTGATGCAATGCGAAGAAGTGACAAGGTGGTCATATAGTGGTGAATTAACAATTAATTAATTATAGAACTGTTAATAATACAACAAATAGTCAAATAATAGTAATACTGCGAGGAAGGTGTTTAAATAGATACGTGATAATACGGTTTTGTTTAAATTTCTTTTAATTGGTGGCGAAGCTAACCTCAAACTTATTTTAATTTCCGCTTTACGAGTAGTATCTCAGGAACAATTTATATTATTTAAATTTTTGAAAAAATAAATGACTTACCAAACGCACATTACATAATATGGAGTCCAACAGATGATGAACACCAGAACAATTATTATGGTCATCTTCAGAGTTCGGATTTTTGCTTTTCCTAAAAATCCAAGGCTTGAGCGTCGAATTCTACAATCTGCAAATAGAAACAATTTTTTTTACAAATCAAAAACTACATAAAATTTTATTTTTATATGCTGTTAATTGGATCGTGTTTAGATGCAAAAGGCTTTAGAAACCATCCTGCAACAATTTACATCGGTTAAGGGGTGAATTTTATTTTATTATTATGAAATTCATAAACAAAAATTTACAAGACTTGTCCAGCTATAAGCATATGAAGGAGTGTTCTTTTATTAATTTTGGGTTTTACAAAAATACAGTTTTAATTCCTAACATATCAAAGCGGTGGATTTCACAGAATTTTGTATAAATCGCAACACACTGAAGGGAGTAAGCAGCACACCACAAATTGCGTTAGAGAACTCCTCTAAAAAGTTGAAAAAGCGTTGGTAGATACTAAAAATATATGATATATGAGTAACTCTGAAGGTGACACAACCCAGTTGTCAGAACGTATTTCGAAAATTTCAAAATTAGAGGCTGTTTATAAGCTAATTTGTTGGTAATATCAAAAATTAGATACTGAAAAATTTTTTGAATCAAACTCTTATTTATTCCACAATAATTAAAAGTAATATTTTTTGAGTCGTTAATTTTTAACTTTGACATCAAATTAGCTCCTATTAGAATTACCTAAAGATCGCAATAAAAGAAAATTGGCATTTTAACCAAAGGCAAACACGCTGAATCTTTTCACTGACGGCAGTAACTGTTATAGTTAGTGTATCGTATAGCGAGTATCTATCTCATATTCACTGATCTCAGCATACATTCATACTATACTTCATTTACTTTCTCTAGGAATTGGCCCCTTCCAATGTCTTGGATGTGCGCTGGCAAAATCGTAGGTAGGGAGAAAAAAGCGCATTATACTCTCGACTTTTGTTCATTAAACATACCTTTCCATACAGTACCTGCCAAAAGCTTTGTTCAATCATGAATAGTAGTGCGAGTCGAAAACAAGCGTTAAAGCCTTTAATATGTCTTCAAATAAAAATAAACATCTCGTTGATATTTTCAGTAGTAAATGGTATAAATAACAGCACATTTGAGTAATGCAAATGTAGTAGATAAAATGGTCAATTTTTTCGTGCAGTACTGTACGAGGAGCGTCCTCACCGGTTAAGAGTTTGGCCGAGAGTTGTCTCGTTTCTTTTGTGACCTAGTGCTATTCTTTTCTATTTTGCGTCGGTCAAACTAAAAGTCACTTCGCTACAGAAACTAAACGAAGTATACTTACACTTTTGCACTGAATAATAACATCAGCAGTTTTACAGACTCCCTTAGTGTTCTGTCCAGCCTCACAAGCTACAAAACAGATATAAAGACGAACCTTTATATCCTTATTAGTACGAATAAAAAATTTTTTTTTGGTAGATGAATCAGCGATCGTTTAAATAGCGGAATTAATAATAATCTGGGCAGTGGAATCCAAGATCGCGAAGAAGCAAATAACGTAGGCTAGTGAGACGGCTTGCCGTCTTCACTCACCTGTAATGGTTCCCTGCCGGTTTCTACGTTCCTCAATTATCTCGGGATAATACCTTTATATCCTTATTAGTACGAATAAAAAATTTTTTTTTGGTAGATGAATCAGCGATCGTTTAAATAGCGGAATTAATAATAATCTGGGCAGTGGAATCCAAGATCGCGAAGAAGCAAATAACGTAGGCTAGTGAGACAGCTTGCCGTCTTCACTCACCTGTAATGGTTCCCTGCCGGTTTCTACGTTCCTCAATTATATNATAAGTTCAACCATAATGGAGGGGTTCTTAAGAGAAGCCAGACTAAGACAAGTCCCTGAAAGAGGGCAGCAGCTCTTTCAGTACTCAGGGTGGCAGAGATCACGAGGATCGGTATGGCACTCTGATGCACAATACTGCGATGTGGAAGGCAACGGGAAACCACCACATTATGATCCCGAGTACAACGTACAAATTATATATTAAATGATGGCGTCCTCTGGGGTAAAGCACTCCGGACGTAAACTAGTCCTCCATTCGGATGTAAAAATGTAACGAAACGCGTGATAGGCTAGATAAAAGGACAGACGAAATACTAAAGGCGGATGTAGAAACGAATGACGGGGACATAGAGACAGAATGGAACTGCATTAAAACATGTCTAAAGTGAGCAGCTACAGATCTACTAGGTCTTAAACAAAACGAAAGTAGGAAACCCTAGATAACAAATGAGATTGTAGGATTAATAGACGAAAGGCGGAAATACAAAAACAGGACAGACGAAGAAGGGCAAAAAAGATCTAAAGCTATAAAGTGGGAAATAATTAGGAAGTGTAGGGCAGCTAAGTAACAGTGGATTGATAGGATGTGTAAAGAAGATGAAGTCGAATTCGTTCTTTTTTCTTCTAGAGATTCCCACTGAAGCATGACTTGTTAGGGTTTGTCACAGTTGATGGGAACATTCAGAAAATTGTTGATGAAGTCGAATTCGTTCTTTTTTCTTCTAGAGATTCCTACTGATGTATGACTTGTTGGAGCTGGTCGCAGTTGATAAGAGGTCGCAGTTGATAGGAACTTCCGGAAAATTGTAATTTAATTAACACCAATAATTAAGTTATGTTTCCCTACTATATCACATACTTTATCGCTTCGCTCTTCTTATTTCGCTTTGTATCGCTCGTCGCTAAAACTGCCTGATTGTTCCTCTTTTGAGCTAACATAAGGCATCAGCAGAATATAGGATCAATTGACAAAATGATGCAAATTTGGCTTATTCATGGTGACTAATTGCGCATTGAGGATGGTCATTGGTCAGTTGGTTTTCATGTTCAAATTACTTGTTTATTTTTCTAATATAATGAGGTACGAGACGTATTTAATTAACTGTCAATTGTAGGTATTTACTTATGGCGTCATTTTTTCCTGCATTACCTCTGGCAAATAAAAGTTCATGTTGACCCCGTTAGGGTGTCAATTGAAGCGTATTAAGGTCAGTCGGATTCGAAAGATATCAAAGTCGGTCCAGCCAACGTTTAATGTAAATAAAAAGACTGTAAAGGGAGCGGATTTTACGATTCTTTCAACACTGTTTATTGAACCAAATTTTTTCTAATGCCAGTGGCATTGCTACATAATTGTTCTTATTATTATTGTCATTAATATTCACTCATTATATCGAAAATTAACGTGCCGGGGCGTTGACCATTAGAACCTCAAGGGCCGCATTTAGTCAGTTGTTTTTCTAACCCTTCAAATGATTACTGTTTGTATTTAATGACCCAAAATATTTTGTTCCGAATGTTTGCACCTTTTCCGAAAAAAAAAACAATTTCAGTAAAATGTATTATTATTCTAGTAAACTGAGACAAAAATAAGTTTTACTGATCAGAAACAACAATATAACAGTGAGTATTGATAATCTTAAATTTTGGCAAGTAGGTTGTATATCAAGATAAGTTAAAGATAATAATGGATATAAATTTTTCTGTCTGTATCTTGGGGTTTACATACCATTCGCTTATACTACAGGATCCTTTCTGTTTCTGGCGTTGAGTTTACAAAAAGTATGTCGTTCACTTTAAAGAGTTTTAAAGTTGTGGGATTACCACGTGTTGATTCTATTTTGGTTATTTGATGCTGTTATTATCACTATGTTGAGGTAGTTAGCTTTTGATACCAGTTTATTGCTGAGTATTTGATTCAGGACGTTTGAAAATAAAAAATAATGCTTTGAACATCAAATATCTAAATTCTAAGTATATAAATTACACAAAATTACATCCCAGTCTTGTGCAGAAACCTCTGTCTCAAATATCATATCATTATATCATTAAGTGCCACTGTGATTTACTAGACAAACTCTGCAAGTAGGTACTTACTCTGAAGTACGGCTTATATAGAAACGCAGAAGTTCTTGTACCAATATGTATTAAAAAAATTGATCATCGTTACCTTATATACATTTTAATTTTATGTGCTATCTTTACTGAGAACTACGAGCGCTTAGTTGGTCAGGTGAATTCAGGAATCACAGTCTGTCCATCCGTTTCTTGTGTTTTTTTGCTTTCAGATAGTAGCGCCCAAGTAAATTTTGTTTTATGATTTTTGGTATTCAAGTATTAAATAAAACAACGAGTCTCAATATTATTAATAAATAATTAAATTTCCCTTTTGTTAAAAATTTAGTTTCCTTTCAAGTAGAAAATAAAGTAAATATAAGAGTAAAATTCCTTAAAAGCAATAGCCCGAATGCCTAACCGATATTGGAATCCGTTGTCGAAATCCAAACACGTCCAGGGCATTGGTCAACTCCAATATCATCTCTTCCCTCTCTAAATTACTTATATAATTCTAATCCGTTATAAACCTCTCTCAGTGTTTCATTATAGCCCGTTGTCGATTTCTCGAGTTTAACAGGAATTTCACATTAATACGTTGTTCGAGTCTCATAAGTTTGTGACGTAAAGGACTAATAAGGTCTTCTTAATGCCACATTTGCGTTTTGTTAAGCTGTAGCTTAATCAGATAACAATTTTTCTCTGTTTGTTTATAATAAAAGTATTTTTAGTTTTCATTTTTAATTCTGTTAATTATAAGTTTCAACACATAACATTTTCTATCGTCAATAAAATAAAAGTGACTCTTACCTCCAATAGTTTCTCGTGTTCGACGAAAGATTTCCAGAAGAATTGATCCATAACAGTAAATAATTACAACCAAAGGAAAGGTGTACATCGTTGTCATTCCAAAGAAGTTATACATAAGTTCATACATATCTGACGGAAAGACATGGTAAGTAACGCATTGCTTATACCAGGTCACATTTGGATGAGATTCCAGATGAAAAACCAACATCTGTAAATAAGATGGAATGGACGAAGTTAGCATTCATTATCTCAATGCGTTCTACATACTAAGAAGTAATTAGTATATTCAAGGAAAATAAGAACAAAAATATCTGACAAAATAATAGAATACGCTATCAGAAATTTTAGATTCGCCCGATTTGCTTTCCAAGTTTTAGTTACTATTTTTATCAAACAAGCTCTTTTTAGGCTTTCTCAGCATGTGCCTATATTACAATGTACGAGGTCTATTCAAAAAATTTTTGTGTTTTTTCAAAAATTATTTATTTATTCATGAATATTTATTTTGTTCCCTTCATAGTAATCCCCACCAGATATTATACACTTGTGCCAACGTTTTCTCCAATTTTCGAAGCACTTCAAAAAATAATTTTTTGTGATCTTGTCAGCTCCTCCTTCGATGCCGTCTTTATCTCCATAATCGTAGCGTAGTGTCGTCCTTTTATGGGCCTCTTCAGTTTAGGGAACAAGAAAAAGTCACAGGTGGCCAGATTTGGGGAATACGGTGGCTGCGGTATTATTGGTGTGTTGTTTTTGGCCGAAAACTCGCCCACAAGCAACGATGTGTGAGCAGGGGCGTTATCATGGTGCAAAAGCCAATTTTTGTTCTTCCACAAATCCGGGCGTTTCTGGCGAATTGCTTCGCGTAGGTACTATTCTTTAGTGACCATTCTACCATGTGCAGAACTCATGATGCACCACGTCCATGCAATCTGTAAGGAAAACCTTTACATTTGGCCTAACTTGACGCGCCATTTTCGGTCTTGGCTCGTGCGACAGTTTCCATTGGGAGATTGAGCTTTGGTTTCCACGTCATAACCATAAGTCATAACCACGTCATAACCATATGAGCAATGTTAATGCAATGCTGTTTTTGGTTGAAATTGAGCAATTTTGGTACGAATTTCGCAGCCACCCGTTTCATGCCCAAATCATTGGTAAAATCGAATGCGCAGGAGCCAATGGATATGGTTAGGTCCTCAGCAACTTCTTTAACGGTGATTCGACGATTGGCCAATATTATTTTCATTACTTCATCAATGCTTTCGTTTGTTGTTGAGGTGCTCGGGCGTCCGGCACGCTCTTCATTTACATCTCGGTTCTCTGAGAACATTCTGTACCACCTATAAACGTTTCTTCGGCCAAAGGTAGCTTCACCATATGCCACAGTCAACATTCAGAATGCGTCCGCGCACTTAATTTTGTTTTTCACACACAATTTGATACAGATTCTTTGATCTACTTTTTGAAATAAGAAAAAATCGAAGACGAGTCAAAACACGTACAAGCAAAGGAGCTGTCAAAAATTAACTGAATATTCAACATGACCGAACTTGTCTTTATAAATAAGTGACATGAGTACCAACATAACGCCACAAAATATCGAAAATCGAATATACGTAACCCGCGGAAATTCAAAATTTCTCGAAACTTTTTGAAAAGTCTTCGTACAATACTCGTCTAATAATAATTTTCCAGTTGATGTAAATAATAAAATATTTATAAGATTTATATTCACGCCAAAATAATGTATTTGATAATAATGTATAACGAATTGGTAAAGGCTTTCGCGGCCAGTAGGTGAACTAATGTTGTCCTGATTCGGGTCTAAATGCCGCCGTCGGTTGGAGTTGTTTCCTTAACGTTCCCATAGCACGAGTGGACTTCACATCCTGCGCTGGAGACGGAAGGACCTCGAAGAAGCTCGCCACTCGTTCTAATGAAACGTTAGGAAGCAACTCCCACCAACGATGGCGTTTAGACCTGAATCAGTACAGCACCAATTCAGTGTATATCGAAATTTAACAAACTCAAAATTAAATAAATGGTACATTCAGTGTACAACGAAAATAATTTGTAACACGAAAATTAATTGGTTTCTGTGCTAATCTCTCTGTAGTTCTACCTCTGGCAGTATTCGTCCTTTCAGCTTCATGTTTGGTTATAACATTATGACTATGTCCAAAACCGACATTTTTGTTAGAATCTGCATTTGGCAAAATGTCTTCATTTTTGTCATCACTCGGTCTAATAACTACAATGTCTGCAATTTTTAATAGATTACTATATTCTATCAAATCAATTAATTCTTGTATATGGGTAGGCCTAGTCAGGTAAAAAGTCTTTTCGCATTGTAGTTTAGTTGAAATAAATGACGTTTTCGTAGACGTGCTTTTCAATACGGATGTTTGTATTCAAGTTAGGTAGGGTAGTTTTAATTTGTTATTTTCGGCGCACTGTTAGCAGATGTCAATTCTTGCACTTCCAAATTTACTTTTCTTGGAATATTACAACAGTAAGTTATGGTTATTACCCTAAATGTTTGTGCCGACCAGAGCAGGTACTGCGGCACATGACCGGTTTTGTTCACCCCAAGACGATGTTTTTCCCTTGTACCCTCGTCCCACCAACCCCACAGTTGTAAATAGTTATAAATACCAAATACATTCAAGACAAGTAATGTTTAGACCATTGCTTAGCATTCGGGAGGACGCCGGTTCGATTCCGGGTCCGTCTGTCTTGGTCCAAGTTTTTCTGTGGTTTTCACTTAGGCAAATGCTGAGGCAGTAATATTCCGCAGATAATCTTTCATTCTTTTCTGTCTTCATTTCGTCCGTCTCATCTTTCTCACCCGAACCACCACCCACCCATTCCCACGATTTCTGAAAGCAGACTGAAGAGGGCTTTCCGCCTTACCTTCCGGCGTAGTCCGGAGGGACTGCCCGCCCACCAGAATACACCCAAAAGTTTTTTTTCAAGACAAGTTAAGTCACTTTTGAGATTCTGTACAACACAGCTTGCTTTGTTCTCATTAGTTATTTAGTTTTTGTACATAAATTCGTTTATTAGTTACTGCAGCATTTTTATTTCAACATCATATTTGAACTGGTCACACAAAATTAATTTGGCGTGTGACGGCGTATTCTACAAAGCAGTGCAGCTTTAAGGTGAATTTTGCCACTGTTTTACAAAACTTGGTTCACACCTAGACAACGAAGTCATAAACTAAACAGCGATACAATATACACTATAATGGACTTAATTAATACACGATGTCAGACTTATGTACGTTCAGATGTACGAGGGATGTTTCCGAAGTTCTGAGAATTGTGCTATAATTAAATTACGCAGAACGTATAGGCAATATTATTGGTGCTAAACAACTTTTGACATGATTATGTAACTGTCTAGGGTAACATTGTTCAGTTTGATTTATGTGTTCCACTGATATAAACGTGTTTTCATAACCCTTTTTTTGTAACAATGGAAGTCGCAGCAAATTCCCAAAGAGCAATAATTTTCTTTTTATGAAAGGAAGGTGTGAAAACATCAGTAATTATTTAGCGTCTCCAAGGAGTATTTTGTTAGTTTGCAAAATCCAAAAGTACTGTTTATCGGTGGATCGATCGTTTTAAAATCGGTAGAACATCACTAGAAGACGATTTACCCAGCGGGCGCCCAAGCACGCGCCTGGAAATAGGTACATGACAAGTTGAAGACATCTGACATGATTGTTTGGGCGTTAGCAAGGTTTCAACGAGCCGGGTGCCAAGGCTGTTGGAACCAGAACAGAAACTCAATAGGTTTGATACTTGTTGTCAACTTCAAGAGCTGTTAGCTCATTACGGCGATGAATTTTGGCAACGAATAATAACCACTGATGAAATGTGGATTCCTTATTTCAATTTTGAGGCCAAAAGACAATCCAAAGAATGGCGCGAACCTGAAGAAGGGCCTCTACTTAAGGCGCGTGTACTTCCGTCTATTGGAAAGGTAATGCTAAGTGTATTCTGGGATTATTTTTATGGATTATCTGGCGAATGGTCCTACAATTAACGCAGAATAGTATTCGAATTTAATATCCGGACCATTGCTACAGGCACTTGTCAAAAAACGGCCTGGAAAGTTTCTCAGGCGGCCATTATTGCAACAGGTTAATGCTAGACCACACACTGCAAGAAAAATGAAGGATGCTTTGAACGATGTACGATGGGAATTGTTGTCGCACCCACCTTATTCCCTAGATGTTATACTCAGTGATTATAATCTGTTCCTAAATTTGAAAAAAACCTTACGCAGTGTTCGATTTGAAAGTTTAACTGATGTAAAACGTGCCATAAATAGGTGAGTAGCGGAGACACCAAAAAAATGTTTGAAGACGGCTTAAAAAAAATAGTTTACCGTTGGGATAAATGTATTCAGTTGATTGGAGATTATGTTGTAAAACTACATTGTATTATTGACGACAATTAACAAAACCGTACAGAGTATCCCATTTTAGTCAGTTTTGCTGGGTATCTTCCTTATTATAATGTAATGATAGAGGTTGCGGTTTTCCGGATAGAAAATAGCCTATGTGTTAAAAAGGATATTTTGGAATATATATTCACAGTTTCATTCGAATTCATTCAGTAGTTAAATACATCATGGTGCTACTGATACTCAAACACAATCCAAAACATTCCTATTCATGTTTATATTGGTGGGGATAGTATAAAATTGCCAAAAAAATATTGCCAGCAACATTAGTACCTGTGGTATTTTAATTGGTAATTATATACTTAATTACCCGATTGTTATAGGGGCGAGGATTGTAGGGGATGTTCATGAGTGGTCCTCCGAACCCCTCGAAAAAACAAAAGAAAGGGTTGAAATTAAAAAAAAAATTAGGTTAGGTTAGGTTAGGTTAGTTCTTCCCTTTGTCCCTGGCCATTTTTATTGCTCCACTATGACATAGTGTCGGCCATTATTCTTTTCTAATTGTTGCAGTTATCGGCCATCATTCTTTTTCAATTCTTGTCGCATTGACACTGTTGTCGGCCATTATGATTTTTAATAGATGTATAGTAATCAATGATTAAAATTTAAAGGAATTATTTGTAAATAGGTATGCAACACATCGTACACTTCAGCAATAGGAATTGCTGACACTAACTACGTAACACTACTTTGCCCTGTGATGACAGCATAATTTCTTTTATATATGATATTGTGCGACCAAATGCTGTTAAATTTCTTACAGTAAAAGCTATGTGGTATAAGTAATGGAATTTGTTGCCGTCCATGGCTTATTAAACATAAATAAGGTTTAGCCGTGAAGTGTGATCAAAATAGTGTGAAATTGAAATAAAAAAAATACCTATTTATTATTGTTGTATTGGGGTAGGTAACCATTTCGCTTAAAAATGCGTTTATGTTTTGTCAATTCTTAATAAATTGTGGTAATCTTAATTTATACATAGATATGTTCCTTGTTTAAAATATAGAAATATCTTGATTTTATATTGAAGAGGGTGACACGACGAGAAATTTAAATATCTGTTGGAGGCAGTTTGTTTACTTTACTGATTGAATTTAAACTTATTGTTATTCCTAATAGTCAGAAAGAGTAATTTACTATTGTTTTCCAATTCAGTCGTGAATTTCTGTGAAAGATGGAAAAGGGCAAAGAGCATAATGTTAACATGGGATTCCATGCCTGCAGGCACCATGGTCAAACAATCTTCTATATATTTGAAAAAGAACAAAAGGTCAAAGGAGAGTCTATGCGGCATTCCTTAACCAATTTTCTAGGTGTCAATTCAGCCAGTACAGGACAGCAAAGACCACCCGCTGTCACTTCTTAAACCTGCTTATTGAACAATTAACGGGTTAGATGTGGGTAAAGTGTTTGTGGCAACAATATTCCAGTTCTCCAATATTATGGTTTTTACGTGTTCAGCCGAGAACATAATTATTTGAAGCCTCTAGCTTTGACTACTGGTCTATTAATTCACATGAGATTTTTAAATTAGCTTTAATATCTGTAAGAGGATCCAAGGTCTTGTTCACAGACTTCCCAAGTTTGCTGTTAGATTGACCTACTCGCCGACTGTTGAAATTATTTAAAAACATCCGTTTAAATAGGATAAAATAAGAGTCAATAATAACTGTAAGATCAATTATGTGAAATATATTAACCTTGATGTGGTTTTTTACAAATAAAAATATTTTTAACCCTATTGACTTTGATTTCAAATGATTGCCTGTAAGTTAATGATTCAAGGACATATGGCAGTATCTGTCGTACTGTTTCGTATTACAACGGGTAAATAGGATGGAATATACGCTTCATTACTTCTTACTAGGGTTGCCATCCGTCCGGGTTTCCCCGGATTTGTCCTAGTTTAAAGGGGATCCGGGAGAGGGGCTTCATTTGTAGTTCGGGTTTAAAAATTTAAAGTCTTGGGCCGCCGGTGACACGCACTATGCTCGCACACCACGATCAACCGACGAACAACAAAGTAAACTAATAATTTGTGTTTTATTTTAAGAATAAAAAAAATCTGACTGATTATTAAAACAATTTGTAACAAACGGTAATAAGATTCTGTTTTATTAGGTACATTTAAAATGATGATAAAAAAATGACTGAAAATAAATAAAAAGGTGATTTATGACATTTTCAACTGTTTTTTTATTACACTGACTATGTTTAAAAAAGCNCAATTTGTAACAAACGGTAATAAGATTCTGTTTTATTAGGTACATTTAAAATGATGATAAAAAAATGACTGAAAATAAATAAAAAGGTGATTTATGACATTTTCAACTGTTTTTTATTACACTGACTATGTTTAAAAAAACCTGTTGACATGTCCGGGTTCTGGACTCTAAAATCCGGGGTTTTCACTCGTCTTGATGTCAGACAAACAGTAATCTATCGGTAATGGTGTTAGGCGTACATAATTAAAAAATAGCATTATATATATTCTAATCTGAATTTCAGATTTAATTAATTCTAAAGAAAAATAATAATTTGCGTTACCTGTGGTATACTGCATATAGTGGAACCCATCCAAGCCGAAATGAGCATAACCTTCCCTCTTCTATCACCACCAGAAAAGTTTAGAGGCTTTAGAACAGCGTAATATCTGTTAAGAAGACAAAATGTAATATTTAGTTTTCTTTTTACTTTATGAAGTCATCAAGTATAATATACAATATTGTTAAAACAACAGCTAACGGTACATGATCAAAGACCAACACAATGTAATTAACTCGTTGTATAAATAAAACAATAAGTAACTAACATTCACAATTATTATAAAAACATCCAAGGTTGAAAATAAGAAATGCCGACAATTTGGACGAAATGTTGGCTATTGTTCTTAAATAAATAAATAACTTTCAACCGCCTTGTGGTTTTGATTTCAAACCGAATAGAAAAATAGGGAAAGATTGGTTAATTGAATGTTTGATGTGTTTGTTGTAATCTGTTGGCGATGTATATGGCGGTATCCCGCCGAAGGCTCTTTTGGTTAATTTTCTTCGAATTAATAGACTGCTTTTCTTAATTGCACTTTATTTACACTATTTACACTTTATTTCTTGATTTTGATATATAAATTGATTGATTGAAGTCGAATTGTAATTGTTGTATAGTTTGATTTTGTTTGAATTTGGTTTTGTTTTAATTTGAATTTGGTTTTAACTTGTAATTGAATAGAATGAATAATAATGAATATCTATCTTGGTCCAGGACTTAAATAGTCTACACCAAAATAGGACACGCCTCTTAGTAACAGACCCCTTGGTCAATGCTACTTTTGTTGCTATGCACCCTTCAGGTACCCAGAGAAAGTCCGGCGTGACGTAGTTGGGAACTCGGACTTTCCCAACATTTGGTACCTACCTGAAGGGTGTAATAAAGAGGCCCAAAGCTGTTTGCAACACAAAATTTGAAGTTATATAGAATTACAAGTAATAGATATGATATACAGTTATATACAAAAAAAATACAAACTAAAATAACTATAAAAAATATAAACAAATATGAACACATCGACACCGAACATTGAATACAATAGTTCATTTTCCTAAGTGATTCCAAGTCATCTGCATCGCAAAATGTTTTTCAAACATCGAAATTTTATTATAATGCATTATAATGGTATATATAGGAAATGGAAATACCCGTGGGTTCGTAAAACTATAAACACTAAACCTCATTGTTATTCAATCTACGACAATAATTCTAGCTGATCTGCGATGATAACGACGATTGCCATAAATAGGGTAGAGCGTAAAAGAATTGTAATAATCGAATATCGATTGTTCGAATATAATCAATTATTGCGATTTAATTGAAATATTCGGACAACGTTCATCGTGAGTGAACACAACGAAAACAACCTCCAAAGGAGTCAACCAATATTATGCATGAAGACACTTTCCAACAGGGTTAATCAACACCGAGCACGAAGACAACATTCTAGGGAATGAACAAACTCCAATACAATGGATTAAATCGACTTCAAGCACGAACACCACGTCAATCGTGGTCGGCCAACTGTGGGTAGCAATATCATCTTCAGCTAAGAAGACCACCTTCAGCGAGGTCGCCTTTTCCAAGCAGGTATAAGAATAGCTTCCAAACCGTAATGACAACGGAATCAATATGCAGTCGCCACTCTAAGCAAAGGTGACTGCATTAGTCCAACTCTTGGATATACGGCACATACAAGGATATTTTACGAATGCTGTCATCCTCCAAGAAGACTGACCATACATCGTCAACAAACAACGGATGAATACTCCTCATCAGCCGTGGAGCCGTGACCCACTTTCTTCGGAAAATATCACCAACTTTAGAATCCTGTGGACAATTTCCTATAAGAGAAGAATACTGTGCCAATAGATTTATCGTGAATGTATTAAGTTAGTGGAAGTCCGTCGAACGTGGAAAAGCGGATATGTAAATGACGAATGAGAAGGCTTTAGCTGTGTTGGAGGATAGAAAGCAGAATAGGAAACCATCTCCACTCTTTATATTGTTTGTAGGTTTAGGCAAGCGGAAATCCGCGAACCGTGAAGTGGTGCAGTGAATATAGAAGGATTTTTTAGTAGAAAAATCCCACAGGATCTATCGAAAAACCAATCTCCGACTTTCCACCTACCTTGGAAAGGGAGAAGGAAACTAACCTTTGGGAATTGCATATTGAGGTTCTCTACCTTTGCTTGATTAGATGAAGTCACCGTACTGGCGTTCGAGATGGCGTTCCTATACCACCTTGTTTGAATGCGGTTATCGTACTGGAGTTCGAGATAGCTGTCCTATCCCTGCTTGATTGTATGCGGTTTCTTGACTTGCGTTCGAGATAGCTTTCTTTAATACATCTGCTTGATTGAATGTGGTTACCTAACTGGCGTTCGAAATAACATCCTTTACAGAATTTTCTAGAGTTATAAGACTGATAGGGTGCAATCCAACGTTCTGGTTTGATCGGCTTCCACCTGAGTTCGTTCGTTGCTGTCTGGCTATAGTTCTATTACCAGTTGGTGCCGCCTGTTTAGGGTACCGAGGTTTTCCGCGCTACATACGCTCCTGGAGCCCCCCATCCTCATACCTGGTGTAACTGGTTTTTCCCTGGCCCTTATTCTTGTAGTACTGTTCACGTTGGCGCCGTCACTCAGCATCCTGTTGGTAGTCCGACCGACGCTTCTAGTTACCGTGAACGAAGCTTGCCGCCCATCCCTACAGCCCCTCCCTGTTCGGACGGTCGTGGTCGACTGATGGTTTACTAGGAAAGCTTGACATTAAATAATTTTTGTGACAGAAAGCCTTTGCGCACATGTCACAAAAATTGACATATTTTGAGCTCTACATGAAATCATCGCATTGGAGGTACTGCACGCAGTCGACTTCAGAAAGAGTATCACTAGATTCCTATAAAATAAAATCTGAATTGTCGTCATCCGTTGTTGATTCTTTTGTAACCGCTTTCTTCACTACCTTTCTCTTTTTCTTGTTTAATTTAGTCTTCATCATTGGATTCATAGCTTTCTGTCTTGTTTTCTAGTTATCATCGCCCTCATATTAACTTAAATTATTACTCTTTGTCTTTTAATACGATTTTTGTTAAATTCAGTCTACTTTATTATCATTAGTCCTAGGATTGCTTATAATATATATTTTTTATCTAAACTCCTGTAAATGTTTCTCATTGGCCACCGTACTGAGCTTGCACTCAATAGGTACACAACAAGCAGGCAGATATTTTATACTTTATTTACAGTTTTGTTCAAATTATAAGACGAAACTCTCTATTGAAGAAGTCTTGGTTATATATGAGAAAGTACATGTATGTTATCATGTGCTGAACTATCATAAATTAGAGGCGATTATGGTTTCCTCAATCCTTACAACAAATGTGGGATCATTAAATTAAAAGAATAAATAAAGTATACATCCGCATTTCTGTGTATTTCTTGTTAGCACATTTACACTTCATATACTTTCTCTAGCAATGAGCCCTTCCAATGTCTTGGATGCGCGCTGGCAAAATCGTAGGTAGGGAGAAGAATGCATAAAGTACCTGCCAAAAGTTTTGTTCAATCATGAATAGTAGTGCGAGTCGAAAACAAGCGTTAAAGCCTTTAATATATCTTCAATATAAACATCTCGTTGATATTTTGAGTAGTAGTAGCAATAAAAGCTCATTTGAGCTCTACAATTGTAGTGAATAAAATGGTTATGTACAGATTAGATGCTCTTCACCGGTAAAGAGTTTGGCTGAGAGTTGTCTCCTTCCTTTTCTAGCCTAGTGTTGTTCTTTTCTACTTTGCGCCGGTCAAACTGAAGGTCACATCGCTACAGAAACTAAACGAAGTATAGCTTGTACGGAATTGATAGTAAATGTAAAGGTTCAAATACTATTGACAATCGCTATCACTGCCAATTTCTTCGATTAGATAAATAAACATTTTTTGAAGGTTTATTTGTATTTTATTTGTTTACATAGACATCAGATTTGGCGAGTTCGTACCCGATCCGGGGCGGACCGATCACAACATGCAGTAATTAATATCAACATACATCTAAGTGATCTTCGCAACAGTACACACGAATTTTATCGGCATAAAAAATAATTGTTATACTCGAACATGTACTCATTGTCTCTCTCTCTGATCAATATTAGAGTAATATATATTAAATATCTGAAAAGTTTTGATATTCTATATTTAGCAAACTCAATATTGTCGGGTCAACGAAGAATAAGTAGGAACCGATCTCGCGACAAAGATATATTTCGCATAACATGGCAAGTAAAAAAGCGAGTTCGTTTTTCAATAGTCCTAAATGCGGTTAGTTTTGCACATACTCGTATGCAGACATAGACCGAAAATATCTTTAACTCACTTTTTGTTACCGGCTTCCACCCAGTAACTCTCGACTTCTCGACAACTGCGTGCAAAAAAAATTCTTTGTGTTGTTTATTTGAAGATATTGAATTTTAAATTTACTCATGTACCTTAAGGATGTTTGGGAGGCATGTCAAAATGCTATGAGACAAATAAAAATTTGGAAGAACGTTCCTCATTCAATTCTAAAACTTTACAAATCGATTCACTAAACCATTATAAAGTCATTGAAATTTTAAAAAACTGTAATTTTACACGTAATTTTACGGAGATTCGTTAACCGAACAGATTAAATTTATATAAGAACAAAGGCTTTCACGGCCGGAATCCAATTTTGGACACAAAAGTTCACTTAGGCCCTATAGCCCGAATATTCATTCATTGAAGTATAGGTTAAATTTATTTTTATTAACAGAAAAAAAGCTACCAGAAATTTTAAAGTTTTAAAAAATTATTTAAACATACAAAAAAGTTTTTCATTATTAATAGAGATTGAAAGTAAATATTTTTTTCTTTCGAAGTTGAAGTCAAGGCATATTCACTGCCAAAAGTCAGTTAGTTATTTTCCATATTATTCGTTATTTTTTATTTTATTCAAAGTTTTTGGTCAAATTCCAAATTTTCTCTCAAACCGTATACTTTTTTTAGTATAGATAGTATTTAATTAATCACGAATTTTTAACTTTATGTACTCTTTTCTCCGATTGTACCTCCCAAACATCCTTAAGTG